TCCTCCATTTTCTACTTTATTACTAATTAATAATACTTTATTAATAATACTTTGATTAAGGTATTTCCCTTCGAAACAAATCAATTTTGGAGACTAAAAACGGCAGGAATTAAGTTTAACACCTAATATATCGCGTGTACGAAGCTGTTATGAGATTGTGACGCAAATGCATGTCAGCAAATTAATGTGCGTAGAAATAATTGGGGGGATAATTAATGCATATCAGAATGGTCAACCAATAACGAGGAAATCATCTAATTGATGAACGAATCATAGTCATGGAAACGTGACTTCGTTATCGTAACCACTTTTCGGCAAACAACGCGAGAGTGCCGTGCTTCCATTAAATAGAATCAATAAGCAAAATTATAGGGATCTAAAATATTCTCGTTAACGATATTTTTATATTTCTCTCCGCTTCTCCCCGAAATAACGCAGAATTCAATGTAAGCTGTAACATTCGTTCAATGTTTCAAATAGCATTAAAATCCGTAAAGCTCTTATTGAATATACAATGAAATTCCGTTGCAACGAATACCATGTAACATTTCCGTTACAATGAAATTTTATTCAATATCTATTGTAGCCGATGGCTACAAAACTTTACTTTTTTAAATATGACAAGAATGTATTTATTACGCGAAAGATCTAAAATTCAGAAGTTTCTAAAAAACAAAATCATAAATTATCAGCAAATTTTAACTGTGTGTTTTCTAAAAAACGAAACTATGAATTACCAGCAGATTGTAACTGTATGTGTTTTTAATGGTATACAGATTTTAGAACACGATTCGACCGTTGCAGTAATAATGTGACTCTAAAACTATGCCTTTGAACAGAACAAGTAAAGAGAAATTATGTCCACATAATCGAGTGCACTTGAAACATTAACATACTCATGTAAAATTCGATAATCATTGGGATTTATCGCAACAAAGTAATTTTCGCATCACCGCAGTTCTTGCATGTGATGGCATTAATATCGCCATCGGCTTACATGCTTTGAACTTTCTGCTCAATGGAAACAGATACAAGGACACGAATATTGATTGAATATATGTATATTGGACATACAATAACCGCCTTTGATGATCAAGAAACACAACCTCGGTTCTTTCAAATGCTAATTATCTTCATGTGTAAATCAACGAATTATCTTACTATTAATAAATTGATCTCGATATCGATACATTAGAAAACAATTCTTACTAAACTTCAAAATTGTACAGAACTCATAAAATGAATTAAAATGCATCATCCCATAAACTATTAAAAGTTTATTTTACGATTGATATAATATATTAATCCGTTTAATAGAATTGGCAATTTGAATCTTTATTTTTCTATATTTTATAATTTTGATGTAAAAAATTATTAACAATATAACATCATACAAAATTAAAATATAAATCATAGCTACGAGACAAAAAAATTATATATTGATAGCCAAAATTATTTCAAAATGTACAAAGATCTATAAATCGTATGTTCCAACGTATGAGCAACCTTAAACGCAATAAAAAATTCTTCTAACGATGCTCATCTATAATAATTAAAGTACATACAACACCCCAACCAACATAACTAATAATCATCGTATAAAAATTCTAAAATCACCACAATACGTTTCAACCTCACACGAGGTCATCTTCAGTTGTAACAAATGGTAAAAATAATGAAAGTAAATACTTGTGTCATATTATAAAGTAAATTTCCTTAACATAAAATCGCTCCATATTTCGAAATCGTTATTAACATTAATTCGTCCTATAACGAATACTGTTCTAGGGCCCCTATTCTGTAACTGTTTTATACGCCTATCGACAATTGTCGGTGTCGTTGCGCAGTTTTTCACCATATAAAATATCTGCGCAACGACACCGATAATTGTCGGTAGGCGTGCAAAGACAGTTACAGAATAGGGGCCCTGAGATGGCAATGACACTCCTCTCGATTCCGCGTCCAGTTTCTCTTTGACTGCTACAGAATCACCTTGTGCGCGTTCCGTTGTTCACATTCAACGCATGATACTAGAACCCGTTGCAAATCAGAAACCAAATCTCACACCATACAATCCATTTCAATAATATTATGCGTAATAATTTAAAACATACAAACAATAATTCTCACATCAACGTTTTCTGTTCCAACTTATAAAGTACAAATTACAATTATATGTTAACCAATAGCATATATACCTCTGTCTGTGTGGGCACCATACTCGCAAAGCATAGAACTATACCAAAATTATATAATGCCTTCTAATAATCGAACCAAACATGAGCTCTATTACACATCACGTGACGTTTAAAATTGAACTATTAGTGAGAATAATCGAGAAACATTTTGAATGCCCCCTATCATACTCGCAAAGCATAGAACTATACCAAAATTATATAATGCCTTCTAATAATCGAACCAAATACATGAGCTCTATTACACATCACGTGACGTTTGAAATTGAACTATTAGTGAGAATAATCGAGAAACATTTTGAATGCCCCCTGTAGGGGAAACACTGGAAGGGGGATGACGTATTAGACTGAGGAGTGGGGAGAGAGATAGCTAACTAAGAGGAAGGTAATAGATCTAAAATCGGCAGATACGCGTCGGGAAATGAAACAGTATCGTTCTGCAGATTTAAGCCATTAGACTGTCTCTTTATGTATAACATCTCAGAGGTTAATCTCTTGTTATACAAGGATTCCAGGTCTAAAATCTCCGCTCCATCCAAATCAAAATTATGGTTTTGCGTAATCCGATGCCCCGAGATAACCGCCGGTGTAAAGTGGCACCCCATTTTGAAAAAAATCGATATTTTATACACAGTTCCGTTTGCACCCACAATAGTTCTACAGTTCCTGCTAAGTTTTAACAATAGTTCCGCCGATTTAGCTTAAAAAAAAAAAAAAAAATTTATAAATGGGGTGCCAACTTCGCGTGGCACCCCAAGTATCGCAAAAATTAATTTTTATCACGAAATTCTAAAGTTCTCGAAGAGTTCTACAGTTCCTGATAGGTTTCAACGACAGTTCCGGCCTCTAAGTATTTTTAAACAATTTTTTAAAGTGAGAGCCAGCACCCCACCGCAAGAGTAAAGTACCACGTAACAGCCAGTTCCCGCCGACTTTTTGCTATTTTTCTACAGTTTTACGATAGTTCTAACGTTTTCTGTAGATTTTGCACAGAGTTCTGGTCTCTATAAATTTTTAAACAATTTTTTAATGTTGCTCACAACATAATTCGCTCACAATCGTCACACGAAATCCTATAAACTACTCCTTGTTGTGACATTCGGTCTAATTTATCTTTTCCTCTGCCAATTAATCTGTTCAGCGTGTTCGGAATTGTTCAGCCAGTTCCCGCCGACTTTTTGCTATTTTCCTACAGTTCTACGATAGTTCTAACGTTTTCTGTAGGTTTTCCACAGAGTTCTGGTCTCTATAAATTTTTAAACAATTTTTTAATGTCGCTCACAACATAATTCGCCCACAATCGTCACACGAAATCCTATAAATTACTCCTTATTGTGACATTCGGTCTAATTTATCTTTTCCTCTGCCGATTAATCTGTTCAGCGTGTTCGGAATTGTATACGCTGGTT